TGGGGACACCCACAGCAAAAGCAGGGGATGGGACTATATATTATATAGTCCCATCCCCTGCTTTTGCTGTGGGCGTTTCCAATATCAGCTGAATTTTTGCTAAAATTTTGAATAAGCTCAAGTACCAAACTTCAAATGATTTTTAATAAATTACTATTTTCTCGGGACAAAAATCATCTTACATTAAAACAGTATTATTGTTATAGAAATAATTTTATTCATCATACTCGGTAAAGGAAGTGTGACCTATCATCAAATTATATTTCACCATGTCACTATCCATTTAAACAAAACAGAAAATTTATATTACTGTTTTACCTGTTTCTCGAGCATGTTGTATAGCTTCTTGTTCACCTTTCAAGCCTTTCTGGCATTGTCCGCAACGTATAGTGAAATCAGAAGTGTACGTGTATTTACGCAACTGTTCAATAACGATCAGAATACGATATGAATAGTGCATTTACATTATAGAACAATGCCCAGAATTAATTTACGAATTACCTGTTTCATTTTATCGGCAATCTTGATTACCGCATTTAGAATGGATTCGTCTGATGTGTTAAAGACTGTTTGTTCGTATTCTTTGTCAGCTCCAATCATTGGAGTTAGAGCGACCGAGTCATAATCTTAATAATTGTATAATAGAAATGAAAGATGTTCAATTCCTCAATACAAGTAATAAAACGAGCTAGTCAATGCTTACGTATACCACTAAAAAAATGAATTTTTTAGTATAACGAAGACGCACTTCTTTGGTATTGAAGCTTTTGCGAATATGTCCACCACGAACCTGTATATCACGTATACACATTGGTCATAGATGCCGTGACCTGTAGAGAAAATTTAAAATATGATGAAAAATCGGATTTTTGTGAATAAATGTACAAGGCTCATAATTTACCGTATCGATCAATTCTTCCGGACTTAACATCGACACTACGAATTTCTTTAATTTAGAATTTAGTTATTTAAACTTTCTTGATGGATAATATACGTTTTGATTTGTTTATTATTAGAATCTTTACCAACTTTGTAATGAGATGCAAAAATTGAAAGTTCTAAAATTAAATGAATTAAAGTTAATCGGGAAATAACTTTTAAACAAATCCAAACAATAAATAAAAGGAATGCATTATTTTACCGATAGCTCCTCCCCAACTATTCTTCTGCGCAATCCATGAACAATAGTCATCTCGCGATTTGCCAAGAATCACATCAGAGTAAGTCTCTGGATCCTCCTTTATGCATTTAATAACAGCTAAAATAATTCAAATAATTTAATGGTTGATGAAAGACATATTAATAAGTACAAATTAACAGATAAACCAAAATCTTACTATTTCTAAGGTTCTGAATATCGGCTGATCTTTCCAAAACATAACTTTTGATGCGAATAAACACTTGAGTATCTTATATCAACAGAAATAACTATGAAGGACAGCCAAGATTTCCATACCCTGACGTTCACATGAATTAAAATAATTAAATAGGCATGCTAAGTGACTAGAAATTTATAGTAATAATAGGGATCATATTATCGTTGTGTGGCTTACCGATTGCACGAAATAAGCACGAATTATCATCTTCCATTTCCTAATGAGGATAATTGAATTCATCATTTATTATATAGTCATGAATGTTTCAAACATAGCTATGAATCACAATTACATACTCTTAAGATAACTGATCCACTTTCTACAGGAACTGATACAATTTCCGCTTCTGAAGAACTAACAATCTCATCAACAGGTCTACTGGTTGTTTCCGGTAGGGCATTCTCACTAAGAATAATTTGGTCACCATTTTGAATACCTGCGGAGGATAGGGTTTCATCGTCTTTCGCACCACAGACTCGAGGTGGATATCCTATTTTGACTGTTTATGAACGTGGGATTCCATCAAAGTCGCGAAACTATTGAATTGAATTGTTTAGATTTTAAAAAAAATCTTACGCTCTTGTCGATGAGGGCTAATTCCACTTAATGCATGAATTGCGCTTTTTAGTTCAAACACAGTTGACGTGGAGGTTAAATCATTAATAATGTGAACTTTATCTTGACTTCGAATTCTTAATCTCATTTTCTTGTAAAAAAAAAAAAACCAGTTTACGTACAATGGTATCATAGAAATTATTTTATTGGTTGATCTAACGATAAAAGACCAATCCCGATAAGGTTAGTGACATTTCTTAATATTTTTGTGGGGGGGGGGGATAACAATACTATGTTCATAAATTTTTTTGGATGTCAATGTAATTTGTCATGGTACATTTTTTATTATTAAAAATATGTAAAATTTAGTGGCAAATAATGCTTTAAATCAAGTTGTCATAACAAATTTTATCAACATTTTGTTTGTTTAAATACATGTCAATTGACAATACTGTTTATAAATATATATTAGGTAATAATACTGTCTATAGATGGGTGAAATTCATTTTCAAAATTTTAATTTCAACATTTTAATACCTTTTACATATAAATATTACCCGCTATTATTTAAATTCGGTTAATTATAAAATGTAAAAAAAATTTTGTATTTAATTAGGAGAAACATTAATTCTACAAGTTAAAAGAATCTCTTGGTGATATCCTTCTATTCTATCCTTTAAAGCCTTAAATTCGGATTCGATTTCAGCCTTCTCTTTATTCCATAATTGAAATAAGTCTGTGCACTAAAATAGATTCATTCGAAATGATGTTAAAATGTTATAATTATTCACAAACTACCAATTGTCAACATTTAATGAAATCCTTACTTTTGCTGACGTCTCGTCATAAATTTTCTTTTGTTGGGCTGCCTTCAATTCAAAATCTTTGCGTTCCTCTAGAATTTGGTCGTACTCTGCCTGTAATGCCTCGATTTTCTTTTCAGTTTCTATAACTCTCTGTTTATGCTTTTCTCTTTGACGCTGAAGCCTATCTTCCAAATTTTGCTTTTGTCGAGACAATAGCTTGTAATATCACAACAAAGCAAGGTAGTGAATAAATTGGTTACAGATTCTCGAGCAATTTTAACAAATCAAAATATCACGAAAATCAATTAAAAATTCTACTTCTACTTACTTGTTCCTTCTTTTGCAACTCACGTGAATGCTGACGCTTATTCTCAATTTCTTCCTGAAGATCTCGTAAGTCTTTATTCGCCTTTTCACATTTATTCCTCTGGTTGATGACTTCATCCAATATTTTATTGCATGCCGTTATTTCCTGAATTTGAGCTATATAAGCACTTTATTCTCTGAAATTATTTGCACAGAATGTGTAAAAAAATATGTTACCTCTTCCACAATGGACAGATTGTCAACCTTTGATTGAATTTCACGGACCTTCTTACCGAGCCCAAGCATCAAGTCTTTTTCTTTTGCCATGGTCTGATTCATCTCTTCAATTGTCTAGTAAAAAGACAGTTGGTTTAATCTAATATTTAAGCTCTTTTTTTTGAATTATGGATACCTCCAATTTCAAACCTGTTTTAGCTTTTCTGGGTTTACTACAATGCGACTCTTAAGCTTCTCAAGAACTTGCTTTGCAGTTACCACTAAGAACTGCGTGTTATTCTATGAAGCGCGAACGAACATTCAATCTTAATGCGATAAAATGCTAACAAATTTGTAGATATAATATGCTATGTCATATTTACGATCTTTTCTTCTGATTCAGCCTTTGCGCTTTTTAAAGTAGCTATCTCATTTAATAGACCCGTCTGTTTCTTTTTCAACTCACGCATGCTGCTCATAAGGCTAGCATTTTCTTGTAAATATTCTTTAACCTCACTCTCATCTTCGATACGTTTTTTCCTATTTGTTTAGATAATTCAGTGAATAGTTTCACATGTAAATAATAAAATAAGTTGGACTGACTTTGATCTTTCAACTTGTTCAAAAAGCATTTTATATCGTTCAGATAACTCTTCATTGTGCTTCATAAGCTCCTCCTTTTATAAAATTTAAAAAGAATATTAGATTTAATTCTTTAAAAAAAAACTATATATATATATATATAGATATGCATTACAGAATGTTTTTCATATTCATTGAAAATGTGCAATTGATCTTCACGAAATCTTATAAAATTAATAGCAGCACTAAGAAATACGCGAAGTCGAGATACTTCTGGCCTAAGAACATCATTAAATGAAAATTCTTCCATTCCTATGGCTACCATAACTTTTTTCCTATCAAATAGGAGCAATCTTATTTAAAGAATTATTATACGTAGAAACGGTACCAATCATTTAATATTTACATTCGTTTGTAAATTGCCATCATCTTCATCGACTCAGAATAAAATTCCTATAAATTTTTTTTTTTTTTTTTTAAAAAAAAAAATCACTTTATATCAAATGTTAAAACTTAATAATTAAATGGCTCAACATACCGGTCTATCGTAACCCGGAATTCTTTTACGCAATCGCATTTCTAGATTACTAGACCAATCGGTGTCACCCCATTCTTCCGCTGTTGCTCCCGTTGTATACTCTACTATGAAACCGAAAGCAATGAATATGCGAGCTGTAGTAGGTTTTTTCATATCTTGAGCGGTAAAATCTACCGAAAGTTCTTTAAAAAATTCCTCAATCTCGGCATCCTTTAGTATAGGAAAACACCACATATCACCGCTGCTACCATACTCCATTTTATGTTAAAGAAAATTTTTAGATTATTTAAATACACAGTATAAAACAATATAAAGCGAACGCGTTGTTGAAATTCTACAACGCGTGTGGAAATTTATCTATTTATCTCATGATCTGCAGCATTTGTGTAATACAGCATCATTGCCTATAAATACCACAAAAAATAACGGTAGTGATAGCAATACTCTACGAAATTAAAATGCATGTACGTAGGTTAACTCTTCAAGATACAAAACCATTATTCTTGATACACATAACTCATTTTTCTTGACCCATCCTGAAATATATATATGTATACACATCTTTCTTGACTCATAAAATTTATTTCGGATGATTACTGATACAAGTTGTAAACAGTGTTGGAAATTCATAAGACAGTATGATGATTTTTGTGAACATACTTTGTTTTTTATCATGTTCACATTAAAAAAAAATAATGTTCATAAATAAAATTTTATTAATTAAATAAAAATTATTTATGTTCACAAATGTGAACATAAAATAAAAAAATTTTAATTTTTTTAAAAAATTTATGCTCTTGTGAACACTGTGAACATACGATTTCCAACACTGGTTGTAAACCCTGCGATTTTTTTAATTCGATAGATAGTCTTTTAAGACTTATTATATTAAATCCAAATTTTTTAATAATGATTAAGTTGTAAAAGGACAAAAATTACGAAACCAGATTTATATTTAAGTCAAAAAAAATACTAGTTTATTTAAAAAATTTATCATAGTAATTGCATATAGAAAGAAAATAAATAAAAGTTTTAGTTAATAACAAAAATAAGCAATCTATATATTTAATAAAGCAAAACGAAATTTTATATTGCGTAGTTTTCTGATTAATATCTTCTTGATCACATGAATTAAAATCGATGTATATTGTTTTTTAGGTTGGGTCAAGAATAATGTTTTGCCTTCAAGACATTTCATAAGAAAAAAAGTTACTAAAAAATGATTCTTTCTAATTTATAAAATTATTCAAGATCGTTGATAAACGTAACGCGATGCTTTCAAATTATGAAGTGTTGGCACTTCTCAGAGAAATGGATGAAAAGCAACGAGAACAAGCTAAAATCGATCCGAACGTCAAATTTGCTGAAAGTTTGAAGACAATACAATTTGAAGTGAGTTTAGACAAATTTATCGTGATTTCTTTTAAATTATGTTACAAAAGAGTTATTATGTAAGGATTTGATCAGAACAAAATTATTTCGATTCAACCTTTCATTGTTTAATAAGGTTATCCAAAATTTGTCATCGCAACAATCCCCTTCGTCAACTCAAACACCTGAACAAATCGAGGCAACTTTAACTAACCTTAAAAGATATAATCTCACCAAATCAGAAAAATTACAGCTTATTAATTTAAGACCTCAAAGTATTGCTGAATTGGAATTGGTAATATTAAGCAAAGTTTCATATTTTCAAATTTTTTTGAAGTGATATTTAATTATCATTAATGTTTTAAGATTATAGAAGATTGTGAAGATCGATTTGAGATGGATACTCTTAGGGAAATGATTTATATAGTAGGATCGAAGTTGCCAATGCCTGGTAAGGTTGTTCGTCGCTTGGAAAGTGGAACTGAGGCTCTAGACGATGAGTCTATGACATTCATTCATTATCCGATGTGAGGATGGTAAATTTAGTTTAGGTTTGGTTTAAGCTCTAAAACACTTAGGTTTCAAATTAAAAACCAAGAGCAAGGTTGTTATATAATAAGTTCCAAACCCAGGTTTAACCTGGGTTGGTTCAGGACCAAATTTTAAAATCGGTTCTCAATCTTTTGTAAGACATAAAAAATAAAAATACATAGTATTAATAAAAAGTCAATTTGTATCAAGCTTTTAGAAAATACATATTTTGATCTTCTGAATAACTTAATATACTAATGTTGATAATATTTTTTGACTTTTATAAGGTAAAAGGGGTAATATTGTGAGATGGATAAAGTGGCAGATCATATATCGAAGGTCTATCAAAAAGAGTCTAATGATTCTTATACCAGAATGTCTCACCAAGATGAATCGAAGATATTCGTTTCTAATCATACTAAATAAACATATAAATGATCTTTTTTGTTCATATCAGGCGAGTAGATCCCGATAGCGATGTAAACGGCTCGAGATGAGTTACGAACCAACGGCTACAAATCTACTACTAAGTGGTATCAACAAAATGGCTTAAAACCTTGAAGCTGACAAGGTCGTGAGCCGATAGAAATAATCACATGATCATTGGCCCATAGAAATTCCCTTCATGGTCAATAAAAGTTTAGTGATTGAAACAAGGGTCGCATCGAATAGATACAATTACTGTGAGTAATGGTTAGGGTTGTTAATGGATTAGCTTACTCCGGAGCACTCTGGAGTAGAACCCAACCCAAGTTGGAGTGGGTTTAAAATTATGCCTTTAGATTTGGAGCAACCCGGAGCAAAACATTGAAGTCTAATTTAGTGGAATGGGTCAACCCAAACCAACCCAACCCCAGTAATGGTCATGGGATAATTTTTTTGTAAATAAATTGAAATAATTATGTGATTACATTAAGCTACTGTATGAGTTTTTAAAATCATCGATTAACGTTAACGTTTCGGAAGATCCAGTAAACCTTTGAAGATGATTTCTCTATAGACTTCTTAATTGCTATTATTTGATATAAGTGCTTCGGAACACATATTTTTTGTTCCCTATAAGTTTTAACGAACAGAATGGTACAAGTATGCATAACACGATTTTGGTAAGCTTATAATAGTTCAAACGAATATCAATAAAAACGTTGATGACAATTTATATAAGCAATAAACAGTCTTATTTTATAATTTAAATTTAACATTTTCTATCAGTTAACTGATTTATTTATATTCAATAGGCATATACAAAAGAGAAGTAATTTATTTTAACATATGAAGTATTATTACTATTTAATTAGAGCACAGGTTATAGTATTCAGGTACATTATTATATGTGCATTAATAATAACACGAAATATTGTGGTCGAATGGTTAACATTGTTAAGTAAATAAAATAACATATGCATAGAATATTACATATTTATAAAAAATCTAGACAAATGTAAATGCGTGTTCTAGTTTGTTAATGAATGCAGATATAAAATTTTATTTTGATCATTACAGTCAACTCTCTTTATTCCGTAAAAAAATGTTCTTAAGGATTTTTATATGTAAAAATTTTTATAAGTTCAGTTCTCAAAGAGTTATATATTGCTAATCCGAATTTTATAATAAAATTTACAAATGTTCTAGAGGTTTTCATTCAGTTCTCAGAGAATTTAATAAGTGTTTAGTTTAGAGAGGTTCAGTTTAGAGAGAGTGACTGTATACACTTGACCCTCGTTAATATCAACCTACATTGGTATCAACCTAAGCCACAAGACAAATTTTTATAAATTTTTAATATACCCTCATATATATCAACTTTACTATGATCCCTCATTAATCTTACTATCAACATGAATAGGGTCAAGTGTATTTACTTTTTATAAGTTAAATTAATTGATTATACGTTTTGCGCGCCAGCAGTGGTTACGATTAATAAATAAAATTATAGTTACTTTGGCAGGCCAAATTTTCTAAATTTAAAACATTATATAAATGTATATATTTTTCAAAGAAATATTTGTAAAATGATTATATGTAATGATTAAGATTTCTAAAATTGGACTTAATTAGGCATCGCACCATACCAATTAAATTGTATACCTGCAATATAACGTGAAAATCAGGTGTAACAATAAATTTTAAAGAAATTGATATCTCAAAATTTTGCTTATGAAACGGCTTTTAATATTCTAATAAAAAAAATTCCTTGCAAAATTTTACTATATATTATGTTCTACCCCTAACCTTTAACTATCAACCTTAAATTATTATATAAAATTTTAGAGGTGCGATATATAAGCTTATGTATGGGCTAGGTGCAAAAAGGGACGAAATTAACAATTTTTTCAAAAGAAATTTTTTTACATAAATCAATTTAGAATAAGATTAGAATCATTTTTTACTTAAGACACAAAAGTAGTTATATTAATGAAATTTTGTAGTATAGCTCTTTAAAGTTGGCATGTTTTTATGATTTATAATAAGATTTATAATATAAAAATTGATTTTCTGAAGATTTTTATAAAATAAAATAAAATTAATTTTTTTATAAATTTGAATGTTATTTTTTTTTTTTTGAGATCTATTTTAAAAAGATAAGTGCATTTTTACCTTTTTACATTTTATATTAGTTTGTGATTATATATATGTGTAACAATGATTGTACTGTACCACAATTTAGATATATAGAATCTATTGATTAAGCTTTATAAAACAAATTACAATTGTATCAATTCGTTTCTAAACTTTGTATTTTACTATATCCAGAAAAAGAACTTTTTTAAGACTCGATTATTCTCTAACACTAATAGAATGTGTTGTTGATTAAATTAATACTAAATTATATACCGCATGTTTCCGAAAATAAATAATAAACTACCCTCTAGTTTTTTAAAAAATCTTAGAAAAATCTCAGTCACTGCATATAAATGTCATAATTTTACTAAGTAAACTGACTCGGGCTTCTAAGTAAAGTTGTTCAGAACATAAAGATACATATATTCTGAAAGTTTCACGCAATTTAAATAAGTTTGTACGAAGATATTTTAATTTTTCTAAAATATTAATATTTTGATCTGTAAAATTTTGGTCAAAAAAGGTAGCTTATTTTCGGAAACATACGGCAATATATTAAGTAGAAATTTAATTCTCTTACGTATTACTGAAGTTTTTAATAAAAATTTGATTTTCACATGCATACACACATATACTAATAAGAAATTATCATACAATTTGAGCCAACTAGTCTAAACAATTTGCGCAACTCTAGTAGAATTTTCTGCATCAATCACAGCAAGAAAAAACAAAACAATAAAAATCCCGAAAACTCGGGTGTTTTATAACGACAAATTCACTTTTCAAAGAGTTATAAAACTTGACTGATCAAGTTATTTGTACAATAAGCTTTTCATTTGTATATTTTTAGAGATACAAGTTATTTGCAATAAATATTTTAAATATTTTAGTATTATAATTTAAGTGAATAATTTGCAGGATATTTCTTGGTTAGTAGAAATAGTGTATTAACTAGAACTGTCAATAATACCACCTAACGAAATAGTATAGGCTACATTTTTTGTAAAATACAAAAAAAAAAAAAAAAGATTAAAAAATTGATTTCAACGTATATAATTTGATAAAATAGAAAGCAAGTAACAAATAATTTATAATATAATTACGAGATTCGGCTTCAGGCATATCAGGTGAATCATAAACCTTGGCAATTCGTTCGTCACCACGACCTTTGCGCAGGTAAAGGCGAACAGTGGATCTATTAATTAAATAACATTCTTTAATCAAATACTAAACACAATAAAATTATAGAATTATTGAAAAGATAACTTACGCGTGTGCGAGAACGTGGCCACCTATAGGTTTACGAGGATCACTTACAAACATCATATTACTTCCAGGATCAGCTTGGACCTGAAAAAAGATATATATATGTCAAAAGAACATTTGATAGATAAATGAATTTGCAGAATAATTTTTTGCCTGGTTTGTAATATAAACAGCAACGTTAAACTCTTCTGCAATCTTGGTCAGGCGGCTGAGCATAATATTAAGCTTCTGTTGCCGCTCGGCAAGTTCACCACGACCAGCATAATCGGTTCGAAAGAGAGCGATTATGGAATCGATTACCTATAAGTCACAAATATTAACAATTGAATAACAATTAGTTGAAAAAAAAATAATAATAATAACAGATTCATATATACCAATAATCGATATACTCCTCTTTCTTCAGCAAACCGAGCAGCCAACTCGATAATAAGCTCCATTTGATGCTCAGAAGTGTAAGCGCGTGCAAAAAGAATATTCTCAAGGGCAGCTTCATGGTCAATTCCGAAACGCGCAGCTATAGCTTTGATGCGCTCTGGACGAAAAGTCCCTGAAATTTATTGAATTTTTATTTTATTAAGTTTATGAAATCAAATAACAGAATTAATAGAAATTTATTATACCTTCAGTATCTATGAAAGCAGCCTTAATAAGGGAATAATGAAGTTCAATAAATTTAATAAATTCACTTAAGCAACATTTTTAAGTTAAAGAAATGTAAAAATTTAGATACCTTTCCATTTGTTCCACCCATGGCAGGTGGAAGCTGCGCCACAACACACAAAGTGTGAGCGATTTGAGTCTTTCCGGTTCTGAACTCACCAAATGCTTCAGTAATTGACATAGTAGGAACACCACCTATTTGAAAGTGAACAAAGAATATTATTGCATAGAACAGAAAACGCAGTAACAGTTTAACAAATAAATGTTGCAAAGTGACTAGTTAATGATGATCGAATCATACATACCGCCTATAAGCGCATCCAGCGATTTACTACCTGTTGATATATACATTACTCTCGACCTCACTTGCGAAAATTCAGTAGCAGTTATGAAAGAAGCAGACTAATTACAATTAACAAAAAAAATAAAAGTATGAATAGTTAAGAAAAAGTATATCCAAACACGTGATAAATCCAATAACCTGGAGTTTTGAGGCGGTTTCTTTAAGTTTATCAACTTTTGCTTCAGAAAGTCCTTTAATTTTGCAAAGATTTCTTCGAGTTGTCATGTGAATTGCCTGTTTTATGAATTAAAAAAAACATATTTATATACTTTATATCTAGGTGGATACGAAGTAAACGAGAATTAATAATTACCCGCACAGTGCAAATACCAGCACTTTTAAGTTTAGTAATATCAGCAGCACCAATTCCATGGTTTTGAAGTTCGTCGATTTCAGTATAGAAAAGTTCCTAAATAAAAGAAAAATATATCCTTTGTGATGACGTTGAAGCTTTACCAAATAATGTAAAAAAGATCTAAATATGGTATTCAGCATTCGACGCAGGAATCATTTATTACCTCCTCCTCTTCTGATTCTTGAATATCGGCTTCTTGATCGGGTACTTGTTCGAATTCACTCATTTTTGCTTAAGCGAAGATTAATTTAATTTAACGAGTTGTTGGAAAAAATAAAACTCTATTGCGATCTGGTGTTTATATCATAAAAAAGTCCGTTGTCACATGATTTTATCCGTCTAAAGACACGTCCATACGTACGTACGTACTTCAAATATTGCCATGCATACGACGAGCGTGTTACAGAAGTTTATATCCAAGATTCAGCTGTCGGCATGAAAAAAAGCTGAAAAAAAGACTAAAAAAGATGCGGCCAATAAAAATTAATCATGCGAAGTATAACAATTCTTCAACTAAACATGAACAGAACCCAATTTTGCTAATTTAAAGATGTCTGATGCGTAATGCAATATATATCAACAGTTTCAAAGTATATAATAAGATATATATATATATATGTTGCTTTACAAAAAATATACTGTATCTTTTATATGGTTTTAATAATGATTTTTATATTTAACCTTGTAGGTTAACTATATGTTTAGCCATAGTGGATTAACAACATACATGGTATCTCAGCTATATCTATACATATACTGTGTTATACATCTTAAGTAGCCTTTACATCACATTAATTCCATGTATTCATTACTGCATTACGGCGAATTTATGAAATTAGAGTATTGGACTAACTATGAAGTGCGTCATTTACTATTTTTTTTTTTTTGGCATTTCTCATTGTAAAATCATATAGATAACGTCTAACTCATCTTTTCACGAGAAGATGGGTTAGACGTTATCTATATGATTTTACAATGAGAAATGTCAAAAAACAAATAGTAAATGACGCACTTCATAGTTATTCAAAATATTCTATTTCATAAATTCGTCGTAATGGTAAATGTTTGAACAATAAAAAAGATCACAAATGGATTCGAGCTTCTCAATAAAAAAACGCGATTGTCAACTTTTATACGTATAATTTGTCCGACATTATTAAGTCGATGCATACACCACACCGAATACAAAGTAAAAATATCACATACGCACGATTTTATAGACTAATGACTAATGCTTCTACTGTATTATAGTGCGATCTAAAAACTGCTAAAGATCTTGAATCTAAAATCAAACTGTAAAAAACATTCTTTTAAAGCGGTTCCGTTAAAATCATTCCACCAACAACTTGCAGACTTGGTTCACCGACAATTAATTCACAAACAAGTCCATTTCAAAGACAGTTCACTTCACCGACAAAGTAATTTTGGTCATTGCCGTTAGGGTCAGGTTTAGAATTAGAGTTAAGGTTAGTGCAATTTATAAAAAAAAATTTTGTCGATGGAATAAACTGCTTGTGAAATGAACTTATCTGTGAATTAATTGTCTATAAAAAAAGTTTGTCTGTAAATTAATTGTCGATGAACTAAGCTGTCGGTGAAGTGATTTTCGGTAAAATAATACGGATCCATTTTAAAGTGGGAACTACCAAACCACAGATTATACTGAATACACAATAGTTCACTTTCAAATTATCTGATACAACTTATCTACAACTTATTTATCTACATTCTTTAATTTTTTTTTTACATTTAAATAATTAAAATGCATACTCAACTTATTCAATCCTCATGTTGGTCTCTTAGAATTTATAATACTGTATTTCAATATGGTTGTTATGGTCCCAAAGATCTGGTCCAAGTAATGGACTAGTGTTGTTGACTCGGAAGGCCACTGGAACTCTACTGGAAGCAAATTAATAATGTCACTAGAACTTCTACTATTACAAATTTCCACTGGAAGACTAGAAATTCCCACTGGAAGCAAAAATTAACAACACTGTAATAGACCATTGACCGGATCATTGAACTGGCCCGGTTCTATCCAATAAAAATTCAGGGTTTGACTGCTTATTTATTTAATTTATTTAATTAAGCTTAATTAGAAGTAACGAAATATAGGTGGGCTCACAAGAATTTGTCTGCAGGCATTAATAAATTGATCACCTATATTATATATTAACCATAATAAAAATTTGTAATAAAAATTACATTCAGATGTTGATACAAATTGGAAAACAAAAATTTGGTGATTATATAAAAAATTATAACTAGATAAAGGTTAAAATTATATATTTATAATAGCTAGCTAGAACCAAAAAATAATGTGACTATAACAAGGTTGTGACTAAGTCAAAAGTGAATTTTAATGCAAAATAAATTTATAAATTATAATTCAACTATGTTGAATTCTTTGCAAGAAATTGAAACAGAATTAATTAGCTCGTTTACTAAATCAGAGTAAATTTGATCAGAATACATTTCATCAGAATCAATTTCACCAGAATAGATAATTCCTTCACTTTTTATTTTGTCTATTACTTGTATACATCTTTCACGAGACTTGGATAATTCTAATAATATTTGTTCGTCATTTAACCATTTTGTAAAAGCTTCTAAGACTTTGTCTACGGGTGGACGTTTTTCCGGTTCTTCATCCCAACATTGTTTCATCAAATTAACATAACAAGTTTCTGTATATTCTGGAATCTCTTCAAAAATTTCTTCAACAATTGGAGGCCTTAGTTTATCGAGTACTATTCTCTCTTGCAAATGCGAGCTAAATACACCATTATAAAGTGTAGTCACTGGTATTCCATATAAAATTTCCCACATAATTATGCCAAATGAATATATATCAAATGCTTTGGTATATGATTTTCTATTTTTAATTTCTGGATTAAAGACTTCTGGTGCTATATATGGTAAAATTCCACAAATCTCATCAGATTCAACTCTCGAATCTATATTTATTGATCTCGCAAGTCCCAAATCTGCAATATATGCACTACTTAAACTATCTAACAAAACATTGCCACTATGTAAATCTCGGTGAATAAGTCCTTGAGAATGTATTATTTGAAGATCAGAAGCAATACAATGCAATAATGTTAATTTATCTTTCCATTCCATTTGTGCTACAGAGGCAAGATTGCTATTTAAAGAACCAATTGCTGCTACTTCCATAACAAGAATATAATTATTAGAAATATCATCTTTCGATATTCCATAGCATCTTAAAAATGATGGATTTTTATTGCCAATATCACAATATGCTTTTAACTTTAGTATTAAAACAAATCGTTAGTATATAAATTTTCGAATTATCTAACACGCTTACACATAAATTAATTTACCTCTTTTAAAAATTCTTCATTATTTTCCTTCGATTTATGAAGCAATTTAAGTGCAACAGGTGTACTAAGTCCTCGGTTTTTATCTATCCAGTTAGCATAATATACTGTTGCAAATCCACCTTGCCCTAAATTTTCTATCATTTCCAATTCATTATAAGGAATCCAAGATAATGGATATTCACTTTCAGCTAGTATTTTTTTTAAATTATTATCAATATCTAAATTTTCATCTATTTTCCTGTTTGTTGCTGAAAAAATTAATTGTTATGTGTTAGATCATTTGATAAATAAGCAAACATAGTAACAAATCTATAATTTAAATAATAACTAACTTACCTAGTATTTGATTCCGTTCTCTGAATTTTTTTTTTTTTAACAAATTTATACAGTAGTTATTAATAAAATAAATATTCATATAAGGTTTTATAATAATATAAAATAACTTACAACTGATACCATTCGTTGGCCTTTTCTAAATCTCTTGCTACTACAATTCCATTTCTATAATAATATCCAACATTATACATTCCATCAGCGTCCCCCATCTCTGCTGATTTCTGATAATAAATAAATGCTTTATTTATATCCTTTTCAACTCCAATTCCATGTCGATAACAATATCCAACCTGATATGCTCCACTAGCGTTTCCCATCTCCGCTGATTTTTGGAAATAAATGAACGCTTTATGTTCATCCTTTTCAACTCCATCCCCATTTCTAAAACAATCTCCAACGTTATATGTTCCATCAACGTTACCCATCTCTGCTGATTTTTGAAGATAAAAGAATGCCTTATGTACATCCTTTTCAACTCCAATTCCATCAGCATAGCAGTTACCAAGATCGCACATTCCATTAGCGTCCCCCATCTCTGCTGATTTTTGATAATAAATGAATGCTTTATGTTCATCCTTTTCAACTCCGATTCCTTTATCATAACAATATCCAACATTAGATGTTCCACTAGCATCCCCCATTTCTGTTGATTTCTGATAATAAATGAATGCCTTGTATCCATCCTTTTCAACTCCAATTCCATCTTTATAGCAGTTACCAAGGTTGCATATTCCATTAGCGTCCCCCATCTCTGCAGATTTTTGAAAATAAATGAATGCCTTATTTTCATCCTTTTCAACTCCAATTCCATCTTTATAACAGTTACCAAGATTGCACATTCCATTAGCGTTCCCCATGTCTGCTGATTTTTGATAATAAATGAATGCCTTATTTTCATCCCTTTCAATTCCAATTCCATCTTTATAGCAGTTACCAAGATTGCACATTCCACTAGCGTCCCCCATGTCTGCTAATTTTTGATAATTAATGAATGCCTCACGTTCATTTTTTTCAACTCTAATTAGATGTGTCACGTTAAAATCTTCAGTCTCAGAAGTTATTTGAGGTATAAGAGACATATCAACAGATTTTTGAAAATGATTAAATTCCTTAGTCGTTATATTTTACAATAATAGTGATATCCAGTATTATATTTTCGACAAGTATTGCTAAATGTTTGGCAGCCAATATTCTTAATATAAATATATATATTTTTAATGAAAATTCTTTGCGTAGGAAATATGTATCCGAACTAATAATTTGTACAGAAAATTTATGTATCTTTGCATCTAACCAATTAATATCGTGAAAGCAAGCAGATTTAACACATGATATTTGTTGATCACCTAGTATCGGGTTCCAATCATTTGCCTGGCCCGACAATCACTTGACCGACAATTATTTGCCTGACAACTACTTGCCCAATATCTTTATTTTACTAACAATCACTTTTATAACATTTTAAAATGTCGGGCAAGTGATAGTTGGGCAAATAAATATCGGGCAAATGATTGGAACCTTTTTTTAAGGTTAAATT